TCAGGCAGCTAATTATCCAAGTACTTTTGCTATCTGTTCACTGATGACTATAACAAACTCTAGTTAGTGTCAAGCTATGGTTACGAAAGAGTAATTGCCGGTGGTGTAAATCCGTAGCCACACGGCCCTCGTACGATCATCGATAGAAATTTTTCAAGACATAAATCGAAAAAAATCGATATGTATATAATCAATCAATCGATAAAAATCGATACAAAAATTTAGTGTGAGTTCGATTTTTAACGATTGATCGATACGATCGATATCAATCAAATCAGCGGTATCGATTGTTATCGATTTATCGATTGGCAAAATCGATATCGATTTTTATCGATTGACTACTCCGGGGTAATAAGAGTCTTTATCGACCCTATCCAAGATATTAAGGAAGCTAATCTTTCTAAATGCCATGACAACGTCGGTGACCTGTACTGCGAAAGATCTAGACTATCTGCTTAGGTCACAGAACTCTCTTACAGAACTCTCGTAATCAGAGAAGATAGTTTCAATTTCTTTAAAAATTCTATTAAAGGATTTACAGGGCTTAACATCTCTGTCCTGGAATAAATTTTAACGAGGCAGAATAAGCTGTAAATAGAGCACCATTTGTCGGTAAAAATGGTTAAAAATAAACCTCAATCAAAATTTCTTCCCGGGTGGCACGTTTAACTATAGCTACACGAAATCTTCTTCTCGATGTCTCGTTTATATTAAGACTAAATCTTTATGTTCCTTTAGGCCAAAGTTACCAACTGTTATCTTTAAAGAACCGAAAGTCAAATACTTATAAAACAAATGATGTTACTAGGGGTCACGATGAGGGTGACGAACAACACGATTTTTGGAGGAAATATCACGAATGTTTTGATTGAATTTCTTTGGAGCTGTTGTAGTTACATTTTGCGTCAAAAAACGTTTGTTCAATTGCTTCAAGATCGARGTTTTTGTGATTAATAAACAGAAATTATCCACTAATTATCGCTAGCGGTTTCTAATAAGCTAGGACTTTTACTGTCAAATCCATCCATACGCTGATCCATGGCGTTTTTCTACTTTGGTTTCGAGGTTTTATTGACAAAGAGTTTTTTGCGTGTCTCAGCAAGTCTTGTTCACTTACGATGTGTCAAAATCCAAAGAGGCTTTCACTTATACATTCAGATGAGAACAATATTTGGAATAAATACTTGATGTATCGCGAGTTCTGGTTCATTGTGCTAGTGTTAAAACGGAACCTTGCGGAATAAATGTTGAACACAAAAAATTCAATCATCAAAACTTTTTCTCGAGAAAAAAAAAAAAAATGAAATTGAAATTTTAGAGGAGTGAAAATCTAGGCTACTGTGAATAAATAAGATTAAGTTTCTGTACAAAAACAGCGAAAAACACAAATATGGGGGGAAATTCTCTAATTGATTTGATCATGGTCAGTTTGTGAAAGAAAAAATCCCGGCTCCAAGAAACAACCCTTTTGTTACGAATTGTAATGTCGACATTGTCATGAAAAGAGAATAGTCACTCATGACCCCTGAATCAGCTGGGAGTTTGTCTGACTTACTGCTTGCTTACTAACCTTTAGACTCGATATCTTGATATCCAAAGATCTTATTTTTGGCCGTTTTCAAGGATAAAGTCACCACTAGTACATAAAATAGTCGAAATATCGTCGACATCTTGGTTAGTTGAGGAGCCAGTACGCAGATCTAACGATACTCAGTAACTCGTCGCGATCAAGGCTCCTTTAGATTCTAAAGAAAAATAAAGTCTATTGATTAATATTGCGTAGAAATAGATAATGTACCATAGAAAATTAAAGGCGTGGGCTGAGTAAAAAATATCAAGTGAGCACTGCGTGATTGTAATGATTGATGTCTCTAGACCGAAAGGCGCGCGCTTTCAGCTCCACCACGACTGGCTTAGTTATTAACGTCATGGAGGAATTTCCTTCTTATCGACGAGGAATTCTTCGAATAATTGTCTTAATGATGCCTGTATTTTGGGAACGGAAGTATAGGTTGACTCAAGACTCAAAAAGTAAGATTATTAGCGCGATAAAATGACAGTATAATTAGACAAAACTCAATCTGTTTCATTGCACTCTTTTTCCTAATAAACTATACAATTCGTCGAAAAATCAGAACGGAACTCCTAACTTCTTTTTCCTGGATTTCTCGTTAATTAATGATTTCTTTACATGAAGAATATATGTTATTTTTGTTATTGACACAGAAAAAAACCCGCTGAGTCTATACTGGCCTACGCATTCAGATAAGATCAAACCAAAGGTGTGGAGCTTGGTGTCAGGTGCTCGTATATACTCTTGTACCACACTAAATATCGGTACAAAACAAACAATTCAACTTGTGTTTGCAAGAAATACCTCGGGATTACCTTTGTGATGATTTTTAACACGCTTTTCGCCGCTTCCCTTGCAAATAAAGTGTCCAGGGAAGTGAAATAATTGACAGAAAGTGAAAAGTTACATCGTGGCTTAAAACTAACCTAATTTAAATCTATTGTGAAAAAAACCATGAAAGTTCTAGAATTTTTTAGGAAATAATTGCCAATCAAAGGTGTTTTTGTTTCACGTTTATTGATATAATTCCGATTCGAATTCATGTTTGGAAGAATCGCTTAGACAATCTAGCCATGCTACTGTCTCATTGCGTTGAGTCGCTAAACCAATTGTTTTATTTCTATAAGGTGTTTTTCTCGGTAATTTAGCTTTTTAAGGTCATTATCGGCGTGTTTAATCTCAATGATACGACACTCATAAGAGAGAGCGAAAGAGTTATTGAAGAACTCTCTTAAATGGGATTAATGGAATGGAAGAAGAGAATGAAGCGCGTTGGATTTTTTATCTGGGAGGATTTAGGGATCTGTTTACATTTGATACTGTTGTATGAAGATAAAACACCTGCGCTTAGTTATTAGAAGAAGATACGAAAATGTAACAATAGACAAACAAAACTGAAAATATATAGCATAAAAAAAGCAATATGTAAACATATGTTAGTAGAAATAAAAGGGGATGATGATGAAAAGGGAATAGAAAAGGGAAATAGAAAAAGATTAGTAAGAAAGGAAATGTAACTACATTGAGAAGAAGAAAAAAAAGAAGAAAAAAAAGAAAAAAAAGAAAGAAAGAAAGAAAGAAAGAAAGAAAGAAAGAAAGAAAGAAAGAAAGAAAGAAAGAAAGAAAGAANAGAAAGAAAGAAAGAAAGAAAGAAAGAAAGAAAGAAAGAAAGAAAGAAAGAAAGAAAGAAAGAAAGAAAGAAAGAAAGAAATGAGGTCCATAATATAATAAAGTATAATTAGGTATATAATAAACAAATGAATGAAAGAGAGCTGGGAAGAGAAAAGAACGAAAGACAGGGTAAACAAGAAAGTAAGAATAGAAGCACTGGTTAAAAACAAACAAACTACAATTTCTAGTGTTACAGCAGTCAAGCTGATAGCGGAATACCACCACGATCAGAAATAAAACCGCAACATGCGTTGAATGCAAAGACACGTACAGAAAACGTGATTAATGAATCGACTTTTACCAAGTGTGTGTGGCAGAAAATACAAGATGTACTATTTTTAAGGACGGTTTCTATATTGATATATGGAGCTATGATCATTCGATTGAAGCATATGATCGAAACTCTAAACTAGTCATACATGCACGATACTTTACATAAATAAAAAAAATCATGTAAAAATGAGGCAAAAACGCAACATTAACTATGGCTGCCAATACATCAATGTACGAAGCACACCAAGGAATAATCGCAAAGACTCACTTCAAAAAAGTTTTTTTAAAAAACTATAGCTCCGAAGTGTGCACAYGATGCATGCAGTATGAGGTGAAATTTCATTGTTAGTTGAAGCAAAAAACAAAAACCGATACATCGAGAGTAATGATAAACCACAAGAAAAGAAAAGTCAAATAATATCAAAACTTTTACCTAGAAGTACCAGGCTTGACGCCATTCATGCAGTCCAGAGCTATTTGTCGCCGAAAAAGATTCAGTGACTATAATATATAGTTCATCTCAAGTATTTCATGTGTTGTACTTGAAACTTGCTGACGTTTTAAAAGTTGAATGTCACTTGAGCCTGGCAGCTTCTTTTTGAATCGATGTTAAAAGTGGTTTTTTTTTCAAGGCGAGGGAGTTTTTTCTTCGCGTAATATAACCGAAGGATTATCTTGGAGTAACATAACAAATTACACAAATAATAAGCTTGAATATTGTCTGATCCATGTACTGATATAGCAAGTTAGGTTGGATAGTTTTAATTCCCCGCTTTCATCGCTGAAACGAGCAGCAAAATTAGTACTTGAGAATTTTTTAGCTATGACAATCAATCAACTGTTAACTCACTCACATATTTAAATCGTGTTAAAGAAGGAGAAAAGGAAAAAATATATAAATAATTTGTATTAATAGTAAAATTCTGAAGGTTGACAAATATATATATATTTTAAAAATTATAAAATAATAATAAATAATATTTAAAAAAGTTAAAAAAACAAACAAATATTGTGACTTGATACTCGAAACTGAATGGATCATCACAAATAAGAGTATAATTACTTGTAATACTCAGTTTGTCTTGCAGTTTCAATTTCAATTTAAACAATATTCAGAAGAAAAGGATATTTTACATCATTACGTATTTTGCATCATTTACAAGAATTTATAACGCTATTCCTATCACAAGACATGGTGGTCCGACTTGTCAAGAAAATGAAAATTTTAGAGGAAACTCATGATCAGGTTCAAACTGTTCTTAACTAAATGTACTCACTTTTATATATATGTATCGCAATAGATCAGTCACAAGATGAAGAGATCAAAATAGAATCACATGTTCTGTTCTGTTAAAGTAGAAGTAAGCAGTTGGCAGCGTTTTTTCTTTCTTTCTTAATCCTGTCACAGGACTTTCACAACAGGATGGAATATGATCTCTGTGAGGTCGGTAAAAACCCTTTCTTGCTGTCACGAGTAGTGTATTACATTTATCATCCAGTAATAATAAACAAGTTATAAATGTGAAGGTAAATATGAATGACAAAAGAAGAGATTTCGAACTTTCAAGAATGTTAAGTTATGACTCCTGAGGTGAAAATAAAAAAGGCGTAGATCCTAGGGATAGTTGCCAAGATGATTTTAGAATATTACAGAATTGTAATTGATATGAACCAGTGTTGGGAATAACAGGAATAAACGGGAACTAAGAAATGTCATATCTTGTTGTAACGTGTTGAAAATAAAGGGCAGATTTATTGTTAATTTAAGCTGATCTTCTGCATTTTTAGAAAAAGAAAGGAAGAAAGAAAGAAAGAAAGGAAGAAAG